ACCCTAAACCTGTTTCGGATTCTCTGGCAGGTGGAGAAAGCCCAGCGAGCAACCCACCTGCACAAGAAGCCTTTCTTTGGTGTGTTCTATAAGGTTTCTTTTATGTTCTGAGGGCTGCAAGGTTTCGATAGGGTGGTCCTTTAATATGTGTGTGTTCTGCTTTAGTCCACTCACTAAGACCTGAAAGGAAAAGGTCTTAAACCCTAAACTCCACACCCCTGCACTCTGAACCCTAAACCTTAAACCCTAACCCCTGAACCTTAAACCGTAAACCCTAAACCCTGAACCCTAAACCTTGAGCCCTAAACCCTAAACCTTGAGCCCTAAACCCTAAACCTTAAACCCTAAACCGTTAAGGATCACAAGTTGTAGAGATACCTGCAGCTCCACGGCCAGCCGTTCCGGGTTTCTGGGTTCTGGTTTGAAGCAGCATATTTACATATCTTATAGTACCGTACAGTATATTCGTATACTGTATAGCTGCAAACGAATGAATCCTAAAGCCTCATCAGACCCCCTGCAAAGAACAGCCCTTACAGAGCCCTGTCTTATAGCTGAATAAAATTGGGATTATAAGGATCGCTAATCCCTCATATTACAACCCTTTACAACAGCACCCTTACAAAGCCCTTGCTGCACCCTTCAGAGACCTTGACAGCACCCTGATAAAAGCCCTTGCAGAATTACCCTAAGGGTCCAAAGCACCCAATAGTTAGGTACTTAGGTTTAGGATAGTAGTTATGTAGGATACTATTTGGAAGAGTATATGATAATTCGGTACTTGAACCCTTGAGCCTTAGGGTTTACAAAACCAGCTTCAGAGCCCCTCTGAGGTCTGTCAACTCGGGGAGCCTGTCAATGAGGCCGCGGCGGGAGTGCTGGTTTCGCGGTTCTCACTGGGGCTTTAGGATTGTAGGTTAGGTACGCCCCCTCCACTCAGTAATAGTTGAATAATATTCATAATATAGATATAGTAGGACCTTAATAGCAGCCCTACTATAGACTCTTACTGTATGGGGTCCGTACCTAAATTGTAGGCTTCAGGGCTGCAGGCTTTTTGATTTTTTTGGGGTTTGAGGGTTGAGGTCGGAGCTTGCTTAAGTCTTAACGCCTGGGACACGGTTTAGGAAAGATTTGCAGGATTCAGGCTGTTCGGAGGTCTTTCTCTAACCTTATTTCTCTACTTCCTCTCAGCCGTACACTTCGAAGACCTATAGGGGCAGGGCGGGGAGGTACATGCTGGCTCTAGATGATTGGGCGCAGTTCAAGAATTGACATGAAATTGAACCCTGAAGTAGAAAGCCGAAATCATAAGGCAGAAATCCTGAACTACGGGTACCCATGTGTACTTGTCCAGATCAGGTAGCGTCCCTTTTTGCATCCTGACTACCATACACTAAGGAATCCTGGAAGGGGCCCTAATTTACGGTTTAGGGTTTAGGGTTGAGGGGGACCCCAAACCCTAAAGCTTATAAACCCTAAATCCTAAACCTTAAACCCCTGCACCCCCAAACCCTAAACCCTACACCCCTCAACCTTAAACCCCAATTCGAGAGAAGGGTCTAAGAAGCAGTGTCAACATTATGGCCCCTTTTGGTCCTTATTATGGTACGGCACCTAATATTTAGGGTACCCAAAAAGGGATCATAATAAGAAATATACCGTCACTCCCATAGTTTAGGGTCCTTAACGTAATGCAGGATTTATATCATCAACCGAAGAAGCATCACAGGTCGTCTTCCTGGTGGAAGGCAACTTCCAGGTGTTCGCACAGCCGGGTGGCAGCTTGGCAGGCGTCGAGGCTTCGCTAGGTACCTTAGGGTTCCTTTAAAGGGTTCTTACAAGGGCACTATAAGGGTACCCTTAAAGGGCTCTAGTAGGGCTTTAAACCCTCAACCCTACTTAAAGGATCATGGGACTTAGTAACTAGGGTTATACATAAGGTAACTATACTTATAATTACTTATAACCTCAATTAGGGGACTTAGAACCTTACTTACTGAGTCCCCTGATCCTCCAAGTAGGAGTTGCCGAAACTTAGGGATACCTCTGTTGGGGGGTCCTTACAATAAGGATCCTACCGCTTAGGGTACTATATTAGGGTTCCCTTTTTTTCGGAAACCACCGTATAGGGTTTAGGAGGGGTTAGAGTTTAGGGTTTAAGGTTGAGGGTTTGCGGGTTAGAGAGTTTAAGGTTTAGCGGTGTAAGGGTTGAGGGTTTAGGGATGTGTATAAAGTGTAGAGTGTAGGGTTTAGGGTTTAGAGGTATGAGCACTTGTTAATAACGTCCGCTTGGAAGCTTTCTAGAAGGAAGGGTACATCCAAGGGTAGCTGGTGTTAGAAGGCCACTAAGAAGGGTTCTATGATTTTGTTGGAAGATAGTTTGCGGTAGTATCCTCTGTAGCCTTGTTATCATTATGCTACCACATACCGTTAAGGCCGTATGAAAGGTCTTCTTGCAGGCTCCCGATGGACCAGGGGTGCAAGTGGCTAATGAGCCTAAACTCCCCGAAGTAGTAATTAGCTTACGACTACTGATATGCTGCAACCAGGTAGCTAGTCGTCGGGCACTCTGGGCCAAGGTGCCCTTAACACCGCTATCAAGTGCCAAAGCACTATGAAAGCCCGTACAGAACCCCTTACTGTTGGGCATTTTGCCTCCCTCAAGAGCGGCTCCCAAGCAGAAGAAGACCCCGGCCCAGAAGCCAGCGACGCCGGGGTCAGGATGAGCGTGAGCCGTGCAGAGCGATGCTCCGCATAAAGACCCTAAGGGTCCATGTGCCCAAATAGTATATACTTTGGCCTTAAAGTCCTCACTACATAGGTACATTGGGCCCAAAGTATATACTATTTGGGCACAGGGACCCTTAGGGAGATGAGGAAGCTGCAGGCCAAGTACAACGCTCAGGGACAGCAGCTCGCGCAGCTTCAAAAGGATGCTGAGGGGATCGCCAAGCTGGTGCAGGACCCAGAGGCTCCAATATCCCTTAATTAATTAAGGAATATACCTTAAGTCATATTAGGGATTCCTTAATTAAGGGAGATACCTTAAATCATATTAGGGATCCTACTATAGTTTAAGGTATATCCCTTAATTAAGGGATATTGGAGTCTCTGGGGACCTCCAGGCACTCGCCTCCAACCAGATCGGCGGATGAGATCACCCGGGTTTGGAGTACCATACTTGAATACTTCTTTTGGTAGCTGTTCCTTAAAGGAACCATTATGAAATAAAAGTCTATACTTTTTTCTCCCTGGTTACTTCAAAGTCCAGATCAAGGAGCATTGTCCGTTCTGCTGTGCTGTTGTTGGTAAGTTAGCTCTCCGTCTGTGCAGGGGGACACCAATTTGTTTTAGACTACCTGTGTTGCGCAGCTTTCACAATTCCAAGTGTACGAGTGCAGTTTCGGAATGTATGTGGAAGGGTTTAGTTCGTGTTGCTGCTTTTGGGATCTTAGGGTTCTAGGGTTTGGGGTTTAATGGGTCTTCAGGCTCAGCAGGAGAAAGCTTTGGGCTAAAGGTTTGAGGAGTTTTGGGGTTAGAGCCTCTAGACTCTACCCTAAGGCCCCAAAGTAGTTCCTTTTTTGGGGTTCGTATATAGAATCCTATAAGGTAATCCCAAAAAGGAACTACTTTGGGGCCTTAGGGTAGAGCCGCGTGAGGCTTTTTTGGAGTCGAGGCCCGGGTTCGGATGCCTTCACTCAGGGTACAGCATAGCTAGAGACTCCAATATCCCTTAATTAAGGAATATACCTTAAATCATATGAGGGATCCTACTATAGTTTAAGGTATATCCCTTAATTAAGGAATATACCTTAAATCATGTTACCTACTATGATTTAAGGTATATTCCTTGATTAAGGGATATTGGAGTCTCTGGGTAGCATCCCCCTACTTGCCCTACGCCCAGGCCCGGACACAGAGGCAAGGCACCGTGCAGACGTCATCACTGAAGGGCCATAGTCAGTTTGGGATTTAGGGTAGGGAACGAATCAGGCTTTTATCAGGGGCTGAGGGTTAAGGTTATTGGCGCTCCTCATACCCTAAACCCTAAACCCTAAACCCCTAAACCGTGTAGAGTGTGCTTGTTCTTCTGTTTCGGGCTTTGGGTGTAGCGTGTAAACGTCGACTCAGGCGATGTCTGCTTAGGCAACAGACTAATGTAGGGGCCTAAACAATTACCAGTACTATTGTGGGGGTTCCTTATTTCTGTTATATATTATAATATAATATGCCCCAAAATCCAATTCTAATTATAAAGGAACCTATATCAGCTGTAGAGTGGTGTCATTTAGCAGGGCAGCAAGCATTCGAGCAATTGGGCTTCCTTGCCTTTAGGGCTTATCCTTTTGGGTTGTGCGGGTTAGGGTGGTGCGGATTCCTTGTGCCTTGTAACTTGTGTTGTAATGTCTGGGACACCCGCGCAGAAGCGTTTGCAACGCCGCAGAGCATTAAAGGTCGAATGCACACATGAAGCATCCTACGCCCGAAGGCCTGCAGGAGACTGCAGAAGCCAAGGTGTCTTGCCAGATTCAATAAGACCTTACTTAAAGGATCATGGGGCGTGCGGCGTAGTAGCCAGGATTATAATTAGGGTAACAATACTTATAACTACTTTTAACCCCAATTAAGGTACTTACAACCATACTTACTAAGTCCCATGACCCTCCAAGTAGCATGGCATTGGAGACTAAGACCCATTCAAGTAGCAATTGGACCGCTGCGCCCGCGGGCCCCAACGCCCGAAACCTTGAGCCCTAAACCATTCGGAGCCCAGCCCCTAAGCCCAAAACCGCTAAGCCCGAAACCTCAAACCCGAAACCCCGAACCTCTACACCACAGGCCTCAACATCCAACACCCCTAAACTCCACTCAGCCTTAAGCCAAAACGCAATTAAACTTAAAGCCAAAGTCTCAATACCCAACATCCCTCAGCCCCCAAACCTCGAAAACTTCAATCCCAAACCCCAACCCCTTGAAACCCCTAACCTACTGACGCCATGGCTGCCGACTTGACTCCAAACGTGGTTACCTCGATTGCAGGCCGTGCGAGATCTCCGGCACTTGGGGCTTCGGGCTTTAGGTTTTGGGTTTACGCTGGTTGGGACTTTCAATTGCTGAAGGGATCCATTTTCGCTTGGGCTTTTGATTTTGGTTCTTGAGGTTCAGGGGGATTTTGGGTTTGACAGCCTTTGCTCTCAAAGACTTCAGGGTTGTCCCTAAATCGAGCGTAAATCATACTTCCCTAAACCCTTTATCCGTCTAGCTCTAAACCCTTTCACCCTGGCTGCAAATGGTTTACAGTTCACAGACGATCTGAAGAGAAATTTCGGGTAATCTGTACCATCCGCGAAACTTCGAGACCGTCTCCAAAATCCGCACCGAGATCGCTGAAGCGGAGCAAAGCACAATGACGTGGAAGGGTCACCTGCGGCTTGTGTGTACACTTTGTAGCTGCCGCTCGCCCCATAATCTCACATACATTCTTCGGTCCCAGTCGCTCAATCCTTTAAGTATCGCTCAGGCACTAAACCATGTGAACCCCTATTTCAGCCTTGATAGAACCCTGGGAAGAACCTTGATTACGACCCATCATCTGATCACGTTCATCCTCAGGCCCTGGCTAAACCCTAAACCCTAAACCCCTAAACCCCTAAACCCTAAACCCTAAACCCCTAAACCCCTAAACCCTTAAACCCGTAAACCCTGAAGCCCTAAACCCTTAAACCCTAAACCCCTAAACCCATAAACCCTTAAACCCTAAACCCTAAACCCCTAAACCCCTGAACCCATAGTTAAGCCCCCAAACCCTTCTCCCGCTGGCCGCAGGTTACCTCTCAGAGGAGTGGCGGCCCTCGGCGTCTGCAGGCTCGAGATAGGTTCGGGTTTAGGGTTTGGGGTTTAGGGCTTAGGGTTTCAAGATTCGAAGATGAAAGTCTGCATGGAAAAGTAGGGTGTATATTGTCGAAATATGCTGAAAATTTGGGTCTCTCCATCGGGATACTGAAGCAATAGTGTGCTGGTACCATCTATATCTATCATGTCACGAATTGCGCGATCCCGCTCAAAATGCCGTGCATGGATAAAGCTCTGAATGGCCATAAACATTTTCCAGGTTAGTTCATTTTATGTATAGTATAAGACTTTGTCCATCAACGGATCAGGGCGGGGGTTTGAGGGAACTTGAGGGTGTCTCGGTCTGAAGAGGTTTACAGCATTCTGTTTTCGAGTTTGGGGGGTGAGGTGGCTTGGGGATGTGTTTGAAGGCCCACAGGCCAGTTTCCACGGGCCCTTCTGCAAAGCTTGTTCAAGGCCTTCGACACGTTTTCCAAAACAAATGTCAGCGTATGTATGTAGAATGCACGTAAAGCGTTTGTGGAGTTTGTAAGTTTGTGGATATGATATCCTTTTCGCAAGGAACATAATACCACTTGTAAACGACTGGATCCCAATCACCCACCCTGGATTTCACCTATACCCTCGAAACTGTCACGGAACATCCAAACCCAAAGAACCATTTAAGCAATCTCGAAGCCCCCGCAAACGACTGTCAGAAGCCTGACCCCGACGTCCGCAGGAGAACATCCCACAAGTCGTACGCGACAGGCAAACCCTCGAAGAACTCAACCCTACACCCCCAAAGCTCAAAACCTAAACCCTCTCTATAAGCCCCTACGCGCCAAACACCGACACCTTCGGCTAGGAGATCGCCTTTCCCCCGGCAAGGGGGCGGCGAAGAAGGCGCCCCTTGTGGCTGCAGGCGCTCTTTTGGCGGATTTAGGGTTAGGATTTAGGGTTATGGATTCCGGGTTTAGGGTTTACGGTTCTGGGTCAGGATTTAGGTTTAGGGTGGTTTTGCGGTAGTGTGTAGCCTGCTAATTTGTGTGATTTGCTGTGCTTTGTCGGGGTAAGGGCGTCGAAGTTACGGGATTTCGGGCAGCCTCATGAAACGTGTAACGGGCTTCAGCCCTTGCCCAAAGGCCTTATAGACACCTTGTCTCGGAGGTCATGAAACCGCCAAGTCAAAACCGAATCTGACTGGCTAACAACCCTACAAACCCTAAGCCACACAACCCTGAGTTTAGGGTTTAGGGCGCCCTTTGGAGGACTGGGGGGTTTGGCTTTGGCGGCTGCAGCGCAGCGTCGCCGGCCGCGGAAGCCGTCAGACACCGAGAAAGATGCCAAGAGTGCTACCCTTTCGTGTAGGGTTCGGGGTTTCAGGTTTAGATCAGGCCTTGTATGAGAGAGTACAGGGTTTAACGTTTTAAGTTTAACATACTGGACTGGATATGTAGAAAAGGGTTTTGGCGCACATCACGTTGGGGCTCTGTACCGGTTGTAGGGAATGGGTAGTGATTTAGGGCTTGGGCTTCAGCTTGCCTTCTCACCCGAAGCCTAAACCGAAAACCCAAGCCTTACATGTTACAATCCCACGGCCTGAAGCTCAAACTCCCAACCCAACAAGACAGGTATTTAGAGCCCCTACAACACCTTTGCAAATCCCTTGAGAGAACCTGTGCATGCTAAATGACCTGACTCCCAAGTCCTTGTGGAATCACCCTCGTAAAGCCCTTGTGCAACCCATCTAGAATCCTATAAGAACTAAACTGGAAGCCCCAAACCCTCAAGTCAGCTCTAAGCCCCAGATCCTAAAGCCTAATCCCCAACCCCCTATGCCCTGCACTCCAAACCCTAAGCTTTCAGTCCCCCCTAAACCCTAAAACCCGAAACGACAGAGATCCCAAAACATAACTAAGCCCATACAGGCCTTAGCTTCTTGCCCCTTACTTTCCAAGGGTAAAAGGAGAGACACTTAATAAGGACCCCTAGGTATATATCCTTAATATAGCCATTATATACCCATTATATAGCCCATTATAGGGTATAGGCGGTATAGGGTAGGGGTCCCCATTAAGGCTCCTTTTCCCCTTTGATACTTGAAGCCCCCCCTAAACCCTAAACCCTAAACCCTAAACCCTAAGCCCTAAACCCTAAACCCAGTAGAGATTTTCGGCAGGCACCTGCAAGTCGGAAAAGAGGCGCTTAAAAAAAAAAAACCCTAAACCCAGCTCTCGGAGGTGCTGCTGCCCTCGTGGAGCTCTTGGGGCCGCAGGCCCCGCGCCCGGGAAGCGGTGCGGGGAGCTGGTGACGCTGTCTGGAGGCCCGTGGCATAGGACGCCAAAAAGCGGTTTTGGCCTATGGGGGTTTAGTAGGGATTAGGGTTCCCATAATTAGTTTCGTTTTTAAGGAACCCCTTCCCCAAGAATCTTTAACCCCCTTTTTGGCCTCCCATCACCGTGGCTGGGTGTATGGGTTTTCTGTCTGGTTCTTAGTTGGGACTGGGGGAATGGATTATGGAGACTATTATTGGGGATTATATAGACTACTATAGGGATCCATTCCCCCATTCCCTACTAAGAGCCAGGGAGTCTTTAGAGGTGGTGTCAACATGGATACCAGCCTCGTTACCGCCAATACTATTCACTTTTTAGGGTGTTCAGGGTTCAAATCCTGGAGTCCTAAATTCGTGACACGCATAATGTAGAAGCCTGAATATATTATAATCATATACCCCAAAACCTTCTTCTGATCGTGAAGCCCCTATAATCCGCTTTCAAAACCCTCGAAACCTTGAACCCCTGGAGTCCTACGGTTGATGGTTTAAATCCTGCATTACCTTAAGGACCCATGGGAATCATGGTATATTCCTTATTATGGGTAATGCAGGATTTATATCATCAACCGTAGAAGCCCAAAGCTGGGCCGCTCTTGGGGTTTCAGGGTTTTGGGTGTAGGGTTCAGGGTTTAGGGTTTACGGTTTAGGGTTCAGGGGTTTAGGGTTTAGGGTTCAGAAGTTTGTGGTTCTAGACGCGTAAGGAGTAAAACCAAATATCATATATCTTAAAGGCATCCAAGAGCCGCCCAGCAAAGCCATGAAGCAGTATGGGCACAAGATGTCTGACTAACTTTTAATTATCAGAAATGTACCCTTACAGTTTCGCTTGTGCTTGCACGATAAAGAAAAAAGCCTTGTTCCCACCGTTAATTCCTTAACCATAAAACCATATTGGACGGATTTAAACCCTAACCCTAAACCCTAAACCCTAAACCCTAAACCCTAAACTGCCTAAAATCCTAAGTGCCTGGGCCCCTGAATAAGAAGGTCTGGAGGCTTACGTGGTGGGCAGGGGCCGCTTGTCTGCCCCAGAGGGTTTTAGAGGTTGAATGGGTTTACGGTAGAAGCCTAAAAGTTTGAAACCCCAGAGCCTCAATCCTTAAGAGTAATGTATATAGGGAATCCCAGCACTATTTGTCCTTAATCCGGTTTCCAACTTTTCAGGGTTTACTATAGGGTTTAGGGGATCACATGGGGTCAGTCAGAAGATATTTCTGGTTGCAGAGCTACTTGGGGAAGTCGCCCGTACTAGGGAGCCTGAACCATAAAGCCCCAGTCCCAAACCCTGTACCGAGAGCTCAAAGCCCTTTAGATATGGCTTTGCAGTCTGAGCAGCTGCTGGTGACTCGGGTTCAGGGTCTTAGGGTTTAGGGTTTTGTCTACAGGGTATGGTTGCAAAGTTTATCTCACTGGGACGCGAGATATCATACCCTAAACACGTAAAGCTCTGGATTGGGCTCAGGTTCTCGCCATGATTCAGCCAAAGAAGGTCCATGCTTTACTGAGGTCGCTAGTAAGCAATCAGGAAAGAAGGGTCCCAGTGCATAAAGCTCAACACTACCGACCTAAACTCGCAATAGACTGAAGTCCCGAGCCCTGATCGTAAAGGATATCGCCGTTGCGGCGCATGTCGATTGACGTGGAAGTTGGGCTGATCAGTGGGAGGAGAGCCACTGTGCAAGCGGCCCTGGATGAGTCGGTGGGAACATTGAAGCGACGTGCACAGATTGCACTCGGGCTCAGTGCAGGGCCAGGGCGGCTCTTGGACACCTCTGGATGCGTCCTGGAAGGATGTGCTCCGATAAAGAAAGCCAGGATGCAGAACGGTGACTCCTTGACGTTCTTGACTACCAACACGGTTCAAGTTCAAGCCTGTTGTACCGCATTTGCTGCTATTCTTGCAGATGGATCGGTTGTAACCTGGGGTGCTGCTGACTCTGGCGGCGACAGTACTGCTGTACAGGATCAGCTCAAGACTGTGCAGCAGATCCGAGCCTGTCGTTTGGGCGCTTTTGCTGCCATTCTTGACGATGGATCCGTCGTGACCTGGGGTCATCCTGCATTCGGTGCCGACAGCAGCACTGTGCAGACTCAGCTGAAGAATGTGCAGCAGATCCAAGCCTCTGACGAAGCTTTCGCTGCCATTCTTTACGATGGATCCGTCGTGACCTGGGGTGATGCTGAATCGGGTGGCGACAGTAGTGCTGTGCAGAGTCAGCTGAAGAATGTGCAGCAGATTCAAGCCACTCGCACTGCTTTTGCCGCTATTCTTGGCGAGGGATCCGTTGTGACTTGGGGTAGTGTTGTCCGTGGTGGCGACAGTCGCGCTGTGCAGGGTCGACTGAAGGATGTGCAGCAGATCCAAGCCTCTAGCGGTGCTTTTGCTGCCATGCTTTGCGATGGATCCGTTGTGACCTGGGGTGCTGCTGGCTTTGGTGGTGACAGTAGTGCTGTGCAAGGTCAACTGAGGAATGTGCAGCAGATCCAAGCCTCGACCCGGGCTTTTGCTGCCATTCTTGGCGATGGGTCAGTCGTGACCTGGGGTGCTGCGCACTCTGGTGGCGACAGTAGTGCTGTGCAGAAACAGCTGAAGAATGTCAAGCAGATTCAAGCCTGTGACGCCGCTTTTGCTGCCATTCTTCGCGATGGATCCGTCGTGACCTGGGGAAATGCTGCTCATGGTGGTGACAGCCACGCTGTGCAGGGTCAGTTGAGGAATGTGCAGCAGATTCAAGCCTCTAGCGGTTCTTTTGCGGCCATTCTTGACGATGGATCCGTCGTGACCTGGGGTCTTACTGACGTTGGTGGCGACAGTGCTGCTGTGCAGCATCAGCTGAAGAACGTGCAGCAGGTCCAGTCTTGTGGCGACGCGTTTGCTGCCATTCTCGGCGATGGATCTGTCGTCACCTGGGGTGATGCTGACTCGGGTGGCGACAGTAGTGCTGTGCCTTTGTCATAGAGTTGGGTTACATTTTACATTTTTATGGGTACTTAAACCCAATAAGGAATATAAATGTAAGTAAATTTTTAATCCTATCCCAACCATGAACTAGGTGCAGAGTCAGCTGAAGAATGTGCAGCAGATTGGAGGTTCAGTCGGAGCTTTCGCTGCCATTTTGAGCGATGGATCCATTGTCACCTGGGGTGATGGGTGGTGACAGTAATATAGGGGCCTTATTGATTAGATAGGGTTTGGGGGAAATTATACTATATACATAATAAGGAACCCCCAAAAACCCTATTCTAATCATTAAGGCCGCTACATTACTTGTTTTGAGGACCAGTTCAGGACTAGATAGCAACTCGCCTGTTCGTGCTCGCAGCAGCGCCCAAGATCGGCACAAGCACATCGATGACACGGCGCTTTGGCAACATTCACAGAGTCGCACAAGCCTGAACCCGGAAAGATGGCGAACCTCTGGCCAATGCGTGCTTCCTAAGATCCGCACTGAGTAAAGAGTACCGTCTTGTTTCAGCAAAGATTGCAGGACAATCCTCGAAGATAACCCTTCCCAATTAGTTTGGGCCAGGCGAAACCTGAGTTCGAGACTGTGCATGACGGGCTAAACTCACTGAAAGCCCCATAAACCATGCCCTGCGGATGAGAACACACGAAGAACTAACAGGGCTTATTGCCTTGGCTGCCCCTAGCACCACAGGAGACCGTAAGGCTTTAGGGTTATGTAAGGGTTGGGGGTTTAAGTTTAGCACCTAGCATCACAGGAGACAGCCCCTAATCCTGGAACCAGAGCCCGTTCGTCAGCAAGCACGCAAAACCAGAATACTCATGATGCAGCAGATAGGGTTCAGGGCTTACGTGAACACCTGAATAACCTAAATCATCTTACGGGCACCTCTATCTCCTAAGGCATCTTGCGGAATCAAATTACGAGGAGCTCAGCAAGCCCTAAACCCCTTAACTTCAAACGCTAATTAAACCTCTGCTGAGGGATTCTGGCTTCGGAGGATGATTTTTTGGGCATTCGTGGGCTTGCAACAAGGCTTCTAGAGCTTAGAGCCTTGACGTTTTCAAGTTCAGGGGTGTGAGGTTTAGGGTTCAGGGTTTAGGGTTTACAGTCAGATGTCGCCCCAAGGAAACAAGCGAGCAGTGGTCGTCGCCTGCGACATCTTCGGCATTCACATGGGCCGAAACAAGGACCTCGGCAGCATAGGGTGTAGATTTTATCAACGGGCTCCAACAGGACAAGCTGGCTGCCGGAAGCCTGCTAGTGCGTCGATATAATAATTGTAGTGGGTAAAGTGAGGGGTTCCTGCAATTAGATCAGCGGACCAGGTTTTCCGAACTCCCGTATCATCCTGCCTACCTCAGCTTCTTGTGATTTCGGTGACATAAACCTTACAGAGCTTTACGGTTCTTGATGGGGTTTTGAGGATTCTTATAGGGGTTCATGAGAACCATATATAAACTCCAAACCTTGGACTGTTGATTCAGATTTGCAACCGTCAGTTACAATTTGCATCTTCTGTGCAGTGGTGTACCTTGCAGTCGAGTGGGAAGCTGCACCAGCTTTGGGGTAGCGCAGAGACGTCTAACCCCTACACAATCCCAAGAGGTGAACAGCAAGATGGAAGCATTGCCCTCAACCTTTGTGACTGAAGACCCTCAACCCTAAACCCTCTAAACCCTCAGCCCCTAAACCCTAAACCCTAAACCCTCTAAACCGTCTAAACCCTCAGCCCAAGGCCCTGAACCGTTTTGACCGAAGACCCGTTGTTTTTTGCGCCTTGGCAGGAGATCTGCGACTCCCTTGCAGAGGAGGCGAGATTTGAGAGTCAGGGTAGATACCATAGGGACCTAAAGAATTACCTATACTATTTTGGGGGTTCCTTAGAAAAAATGGTTCGGGGGCCGAACTCTACCACAGCGGTAGACTTTGACCCCCGAACCGAAAAGATATAGTATTATGGGTCCCAAACACCCTATTCTAATTATTAAGGCCCCTCCCTATATTACCCATCTTAGCGCTCCTGTGTTTGAAGGTCCCGTGTAGGGTTCAGGGTTTAGGGGAATAAAAGCCAACCGAAGACCTGAATATAAATGGGCGGTTGTCAAAATTAGGTTCCCTTTTTGGGTCTCTAGTATAATACGGCGCCTAATATTTAGGGTACCCAGACAGGGACCATAATTTTGACAACCAGCCAAATGGCACCAAGCTGAACTCAGGGCCTAGCCCTACAACTCATACATCCTCATACGCTACCCGCACATCACCATCGAAAACAAATTTGAACCCAGAAGACTTTCCCTAAGCTCTAAACCTCTAATCCGAAGCATAAAATTTCGACCAAACCCTATAACTCACAAATGTAACTTGCAACGTCAATCCTGACGCCTCCAAACCTTAGCACACCGAGCACAGTTATCCGTTGCCTTAGGGTTTAGGGTTTAGGGTTTAGGGTTTATGGTTAGGGCCAGGGGTACTTAGAACTATTTGTTTTTAATTTTTGGTTATTATAATCCCGAAGAAGCAGCTAAAATCTTAATTTTTGCTAGGGTTCTAAGTTCAGTATAGTTGCCCCGAGTGAGTTGATAGCCCCATGCAGTTGTTGTGCAAAACAAGCAACACCTAAACCCTATAAACCGACGACGAAACTGGCCGCAAAAACCCTGAACCTTGTACAAAACACCCGAAACCCTAAACCCTATACGCCCATAAACACTATACAAAACCCTAAACCCTATAAACCTACAAACCCTATACAAAACAGGCAAAACCTTAAAGAGAAAGAAAGTCCCACGCTTTGAGCGAGGGCTTTCTCGTCGTTTTGCCGGACTTCTTTAGGGGCGCGTCGGGGCCTCGAGGTGTAGAGTTAGGATTTTAGGGTTTTAGGGTTTAGGATTTTACTGTTTTAGGGGTTTAGGGTTGTAGGTTGTAGGGCTTTTAGGGTTTCAGGGTTTCGGGGCATGGGGTTCAGGGTTTCGGGTTTAGGTTTTACGGTTCAGGGTTTAGTGTTTTGGGTTTTGGATTACGATTTGGCTTAGGTGTGAGATTCACAGTGCCTGTGTTGGTTTAATTAGGTGTTTAACAAGCTGTGCCTCTTCCATTGCCGTGGGTCATTTTCCCCTGTGAAGACTCAGCCACAAATACACCCAGTGTGGAGCTCTACGCCGTGTTTGGGGTTTAGAGTTTAGAGTGTTAGGTTGAACATTGCCCGGGTGCTTCTGCCGTTGCACCCACGGTTGGACTGAAAGTGTACACTTGTTCGGGGCATGCGAACCCAGCAACCAAGAGTATAATGGGCCCCCAAAACCCATTCTAATTGTTAAGGCCACTATAGTAACCATAGTATACACCGGACCAGGGTCAAGACTCAAAACCAAACACTGGGTTCTTGTTAAAGGATTAGTTTTGCGTTGCCCTACAAGGGATCTATAGTTTATGAAAGGGTGTCCATGTAGTGGTAACTCAAATTGAAATCCTTAACAAGAACCCAGCAACAGTCTGTAGCTGAGGAGACACGCCGAGCCCCTACCCAACACGTATGCGATTTTGTATTCACATGGGAGGTCGAGTTGAGGGCACGTCCCCAGTTCCGCACAAACACACTTGTTGGGAGCTGCTGTGTTTGTCATCTCATCGTTCCCAGGCTCCTCGATAAAGCTGAGGCTTGAGTCCAGGCTTATTGATTGCACCGTACAGGCTGAGAGGGCGGTGCGAGGGGAACATGAAAAATACTGACGTTCAGATACTCATGAAGATGCTCATGCAAGTGACTTGCATGACATGGAACCCAGGTTTCCCGGTACAGCTCTAAACCGCCTTACATTAAAGTAACACTTATAAGAACCCGCAGAGGAATCCTAAACCTTAAACCCTGACACGCCGCTTGTTATTGCAGCCCCGTTCTCGCCATGATTCCCGTCAGAGATGGACAGTAGTGCAAGCAAACAGCAAAGAAGGGTCTGCGTGCCTAAAGCGCGGCACTGCCAATCTAAACTTGCAACATATGTAAATCCCTTTTCGCAATACCTGTAATCCTGTGAGGGATTGAATATTGTGCGCAACATGTCGATTCACCTGGAAGTGGGACTGATCAGTGGGCAGGCTGTCGTAGTGCAAGCAGCGTTGGATGAGACGGTGGCAACATTGAAGCGACGGGCGCAGATTGCACTCGGGGTCGGGACCGGGCAGCTCTTGGACTCATCCGGATGCGTCGTGGAAGGATGTGTGCAGGTCAAGAAAGCCAGGGTGCAGGATGGTGACTTCCTGACCTTGTTGTGCAAGACGGTTCAAGTTCAAGCCTCTTTCAGGGCTTTTGCGGCCATTCTTGGCGATGGATCCGTGGTGACCTGGGGTGATGCTAGAAGTGGCGGCGACAGTAGTGCTGTGCAAGGTCAGTTGAAAAATGTACGGCAGATACAAGCGTCAGGAGCCGCCTTTGCTGCTATTCTACACGATGGATCGGTTGTGACCTGGGGCAATGGTTTCACGGGTGGCGACAGTAGTGCTGTGCAGGATCAGCTGAAGAATGTGCATCAGATCCAAGCCTCTCAGAATGCTTTTGCCGCCCTTCTTGAAGATGGATCCGTGGTGACCTGGGGCTGTGCTCTCTCTGGCGGTGATAGCAGCGACGCGCAGGATCAGCTGAAGAATGTGCAGCAGATCGAAGGCTCTGGCTGGGCTTTTGCTGCCATTCTTGACGACGGATCCGTTGTGACATGGGGTGCTCCCTGGGCAGGTGGCTGCAGCAGTGCTGTGCAGAGCCAGCTGAAAAAGGTGCAGCAGATTCAGACCTCTGCACAGGCTTTTGCTGCAATGCTTGACGACGGATCCGTCGTGACGTGGGGTGATGCTGTCCGAGGTGGCGACAGTAGCGCTGTGCAGCAGCACTTGAAACATGTGCAGCAGATTGAAGCTAGCAGCAGTGCTTTCGCTGCCATTCTCGGTGATGGATCTGTCGTGACTTGGGGTGATGCTGATTTCGGTGCCGACAGTAGTGCTGTGCAGGGTCAGCTCAAGAATGTGAAGCAGCTCCAAGCGTCTCAGGGCGCTTTTGCCGCCATTCTGGGCGATGGATCCGTCGTGACCTGGGGTCATGCTGACTTTGGTGGTGAGAGCGGCGCTGTGCAGGGCCAGCTGAAGAATGTGCAGCAGCTCCAAGCGTCTAAGGGCGCTTTTGCCGCCATTCTGGGCGATGGATCTGTTGTGACCTGGGGTTACACTTACAATGGTGCAGACAGCAGTGCTGTGCAGACTCAGCTCAAGAATGTGCAGCAGATCCAAGCGACTCAGATTGCTTTTGCTGCCATTGTTGCGGGTGGAAGCGTTGTGACCTGGGGTGATGCCGACGGCGGCGGCGACAGCAGTGCTGTGCAGGACCAGCTCAGGAATAGATAGCAACTCTCTCAATTACCAGTGCTCGCAGAAGCACCCAAGATTGGCACAATCATCAACCTCTGGCCAAGTCACGTTTCCCAAGATCCCACTGACTGAAAACGTGAGCTTCATCTGCGGTGCTCGATCGTTTGCAGGACACATCTCGAAGAAAGCTTCCCAATCAGCCTGGACGAAAGAAGCCTCAGTTCGTGACTTCTCGGCATGACGGGCAAATCTACTCACACAAAGCGTTAGTCTTGCTGCAAGCCTTAGTTCCTAACACACACCCTCAAAAGGTGAACAGATGACAAAGCTAAGCTCGGCTTATCACTTCTTGGATTCGCTTGGCATCACAGGAACTTTCAATCCTTAACACCAACCAAGAAGAATGCATACTGCACATACACCTGACACAGCAAAGCCCCTAATTCCTGCACTTAAACGGTAAATCCGAGTACCATATACTCATATACTCCCGACTGCTAGGTTCTTATTCTCGACTAGGCCCACCGAGCCTTCAATGCAAAGCAACCGTAGGTGGGAAATGTGATCGTACTAGCAATATCCTCTAGTCCATGTGAACCATACCCTAAACCCTGCGATATATCCGAAACCCCAAACCCGAATTCGACACCCTCCAAGCCCCCTCCGAGCTGAAAAATTAAAATCCAAGACTCTACTCTTAGGGATTTAGTCTAGGGCTAAGTGTTTTCCCATCAAGAAGCATGCTATATGTTGTACGGATCCCCTTGGTTAAGAGCGCCAAGTTCAGTGGATCCAAGACCCATAGCCAGCATCCTGTATCCCAAAACCCGAAGCACTTAAACCCCTAAACCCTGAGCCCTAAACCCTAACCCTAAACCCTAAACCCGAAGGCCCCGTTGCACTTAAAAAAAAAAAAACCTAATCCTTAATCCCTGATCCCGTAATCTCTAATCCCTGGAACCCTTGCCTTGCCCTCAGGTACGAGGATGTGGGCTCCGATCCAGGTTTCTGGGAGATGCTGCGTCAGGCCGTCTTCGTGGAGCCCGGCACAGGGGTTTAGGGTTTAGGGGTTTAGGGGTTTAGGGGTTTAGGGGTTTAGGGGTTTAGGGTTTAGGGTTTAGGGAAGTTTAGGGTTTATAGGGTTTAGGGTTTCTGTTTCCGGGTTCAGGCTTTCTAGGCCTTAGGACAATGGCTCGAAGCACCAATATAGCAGATGCTTGGTCAAAAGGGCATGCGACATATTGCTAATTGGATTCTCTGGATCGGTTCACGCATTTCGGCACCCAGCGCTAGCTTAGAAAGAACTGTCACAAGATTACTAATGGTGGCTGTCGTCAAGTCATCCTAAACCCTAAACCCTAAACCCTTAAACCCTTAAGCCCTAAACCCTAAACCCTAAACCCTAAACTCCTAAACCCTAAACCCTAGCAAGTATTGTGGCGGCAGCAGTCAAAGGCGATAGCGAAGTATATAGCAGCAGGAGTGGGGATCCAGCACCACTACTACTACGTTGCCATGACTACCACTGCCACAACCACCCGCACCAGCCCCACCACCCCCCACACCACCAGAGACTCCAATATCCCTTAATTAAGGAACATACCTTAAATTATAATAGGATCCCTAATACGATTTAAGGAATATTCCTTGATTAAGGGATATTGGAGTCTCTGGGCACCACCATCATCGTCATCGTCATCGTCATCAGTATCTTCTGCATCTGCACCTTCATCTTTACCATCGCCTTCTTCACCATTATCTTCCCAATGGCGTGATCATCACTACTACACCGTCAAGCATGCTAGCAGTTTTGTGCACATCGGTACCAGTGTCACGGGTAGCGACAGTCATCGCGATTGTCATGATCATGGTGCTTGTAAGTGTTTGCAGCGTGCAAATATGTTTGTCAGTGCTCGGCTCCGGAAATACCAGCTAGCAGCAGGAAGTTAATGAAGCGGCCGAAGGTGCAGGTTTTCGATGCTATAGCACTGCAGCTTAGGTTTAGTGTTTAGAACCCGAGGGGACTCTTAAAGCCTAACGGGCACGATCTCTCACGGCACGAGAGGAAATCCGTATCTTGGCACGCAAAACCCTACACCCAGAACCCAAAATCCTCAACTTAGGGGTACTTAGAAATAATATTTACTTTCTGGTGATTATAATCCCTAAGAAACAGCGAAAATTCTAATTTTTGCTAGGGCTCTAAGTTCAGTATAGCCAAAGCAACCTCGGCACCCTGAACCGCTGGACCCTCCCAGAGACTCCAATATCCCTTAATTAAGGAATATTCCTTAAATCATATTAGGGATCCTAAAATAGTTTAAGGAATATTCCTTACTTCAGGAATATTCCTTAAATCATAATAGGGATCCTAAAATAGTTTAAGGAATATTCCTTAATTAAGGAATATTCCTTAAATCGTATTAGGGATCCTTCTATAATTTAAGGAATATTCCTTACTTAAGGGTTGTTGGAGTCTCTGGGCTCCAACGCAGAGAAACATTCAACACTTGTCTGCCGTAAGCCGAAAGCATGCCTGTGAAAGCCACAAGTGCAGACACGCAGTCGTGCAAGGCTCCGAAGCCGACTATAGAGGCCTTAATAATTTCCTAGACTATTGTGGGGTTTCTTTTATTATAGCCATAGTATAATTTATAATATGTCCCAAAACCGTATTCTAATAATTGAGGCCCTTATATTATTGGGTTGTACATACCGATAACATGGTTGAGCCGTTCTGAAAGGGCAGGGCTCCAACTTATGTGAAGTTTCAGGTTTTAGGATTTAGGGGTTTAGGGCTTACCGGTTTAGGATTTCGGGTTAAAGGTTTATGGTAACAGGCTTTTTGTAAACGCTGTATCATGCTCGTCTCAGTAGACTAGTTCCCGAACAGATCCCCAGCCATTTTACCCTGCGACCGAAAGGGCATTGAGCCCAGAGTGGCTCCGTTACTTCAGCAATACTTAACTGGGTAGGCCTTTGGGTTCTTGGAATATTTTCCTTATTGGGTTTATATAAGGACCCTACATATATATATATATATATATATATATACACACACACTCACATTTTTCAAGGGGCTCCGAAGGCGAGCCCAGTTAATATCGCTTAGCTTATGGAGGGATCCGTGTTCCTAAGCCTTAGACTCAGACCCTGAACCCTAAACCCCGAAACTCGAAACCCAACCCCGAAACCCTAAACCCTCAACCCCCAAACCCAAAGCCCTAAAGCCTGGACCTAAATCCTTCCTGACAGGCACCAACGGTGCTCACGCCCCTGAATACTCCCTGGGCGGATGTGGAGCAAGACCTGGAGGCAACCGGAAAGTGTGGTGACTGATATACCGGGGCTGAGGGCCTGGGGTTTAGGGGCTTAGGGTTTAGGGGTTTAGCCCTGCCCTTCAACCTACATCAATAAGCCTTACGTGTTAGAGCTTACTTCAGAGTTCGTTAGTTTCGGCTCGCAGATTTGCCGTCGGATCCTTAAGGCCGTAGGCTCCAGGCTTCGAAGAGGTTTTCCAGGTTCGGGTGTTTATTATCATCATAGTATAAAGGAGCCCAAAAACCTCTTCTAATCACTAAGGCCCCTGTACATAGTTGCCTTAATAAGTTTTGGTTCTCCAGGTTCGGGTGTTTATTGTAACTGTAGTATAAAGGAACCCAAAACCCTATTCTAATCATTATAAGGCCCCTGTACATAGTTGCCTTTATAAGTACCCAAAACCCTATTGAAATCATTAAGGCCCCTGTAATATAGTGGCCTTAGTAAGTTTTGGTTTTCCAGGTTCGGGTGTTTCGACTACAGGGCTCAATTTTCAGAGTTGAGGATGCCAAGGGGGTGCCCAGACACTCCAAAATCTTAAAAGGGGCCCCCACCCTGTAATAGTGGTATAATAGGAATATAATAGGGCCCTAATATAATCCTATATAATCCTTATGGTCACTATTACAGGGTGGGGGCAGCTCCTAACCAATATCCCTTAATTAATTGTAAGGAACTTACGTTAAGTTAGAGTAGGTGAGGAGGATCCAAGGTCTATATTCCTTAATTTAAAGGATGTTGGAGTCTCTGGGTATGGGGCCTTGAGGAAATTTGGAAGTTTGAGGCTGTTGCATGCCCTGAAGCCGAAGCCTTAAACGGTGAGCCTGATTTGATATAGGGGCCTCAATAGTTCGAATAGGGTTCTGGGCTCCTTTATACTGTAACTATAATGAGGAACCCCCCAAAAAGTATTGGGAACTATTGGCCACCTGTAGTAAGCGTTTTAACTTTAGTGCTTATTATATGCAGTGCACGTTTACAGCTCGCGGTTTGGTCCTTAAGGGGTTCTAGGTTGGAGTTGATGCTTGTGCCCGATCTGCTGCAGGTGAGCGTGCTCCCATTCTTGGAGGAGCAAGGCGGAACTTTCCGGAGAAGTTGCATCATGCAATTATATTATGTAAGGCTAAAGAATTACCAATACTATTTTGGGGGTTCTTTGAAGGTCTTTGTTATAGATATAGTATACTGGGCCCCAAACTGATGAAGGCCCCCTGTATTAATATAGGGGCGTCAATAATTAGAATAGGGTTTTGGGTTCCTTTATGCTAGAATTACAACCAGGAGCCCCGGCCCCTACAGTTCGCTAAGCCCTCCCAGCCCGGCCACCCAAGCGTCAGCGAGTTCCCAGGGTGTGCGGAGAACGCCGGCGTCCTTGGCTTCTGCTGGGGACCCTTGGCAGATCGGATGTTTAGGGTTGTTTAGGGATGTTTAGGGAAGAAGTGGGCTTGAGACCCTTTTTCCGTTGGAGTTGAGACTTTTGCCGTTTAAGTGTAGGGATTTGGGGTCTTGGGGTGGAGGGTCTTGGGGTCCAGGGTTCAGGGTCTTGGGTTTCTAGGGCTTGGGATGTAGATTTTATTGCTTTGCCATGCGGGTTCGCGAAACTTTGGGTTTTGGGTCATGGGGCTTCCCGTTGTGCTTCGAAGGTCTTCGGGTTTAGAGTTGAGGCTCGTGGGGTTCAGAGTTGAGGGTCTTGGGTTTTGGGTTTTGGGGTTCAGAGTTTAGGGAAAGATATGAAAGTTTGTTCTTGGCCATTCTTCTTACAGCAGTGTTCTTGTTCAAGTTCGTTTTTGAGATTCTTGCTCTCCTTTTGTCGGGATCTTCCGAAACGTAAAGTCTTGCTTGCACACATTGTCTTGGCATGGCCTCCGGGTTTGCATTTAGGGATTTGGAGCCTGGGTTCGCGGTTTAGGTACCTGAGCCTGTGCCTTGCATAGACAACCCTAAAACCCTAAACCCTAAACCCTAAACCCTAAACCCCAAACCCTAAACCCTAAACCCCAAAGCCCTGTAAACTCCAAGCCATAGATGGACCCTACTAGGATGCCCAGTAGTACCCTTATTCCTTTTTTGTAGTCCTAGGTTCCTTATAAAGTTACCCAATACCAAAAAGAGAGGCCTTTTTATTCTTGGGTTACTGGGTATCCTAGCCTAAGAAGCGTTCAGGTTTTGCTGCAAGGAGTAGACTTTAGCTCGAGGGTTCATGGTCCATGCGGGAAGGTCGATCTTTGGTACGGTTTAGGGTTTAGGGTTAGGGGTTTAGGGACTTGCTCTTGTCAATTCTTGACAAGCCCAGAATCCTAAAGCAACTAAAACCTAAAACCTTTCCCTCACTCCGAAGAGCCTCGAAAGCCCAAGCTCTTCGAGCCTTAAACCCGAATCCCCCAACATGACTGCAGGCTCTTGAATTCGAACCGCTGAGAGACTCCATAACTCCGTAATCAAGAAGCTTCATGAAACCCATATCCATGGAACCTCTTTGAACCCCTTATAGAGCACATGTATATCCTTCTCTAAATGCCCTATCCCTAGAGACTTTAGGCCCCCAGTTTTTCAGCCTTAAGCGCTGAAGTCTAAGCCAAACCTGCAGCGCCTAGAACCTACAGGGACCAGGCTCCTCATTATGAGCTCCTTATATATATATATATATATATATATATATATCCCTTTTTTAAAAGAAGTGCTCCTTAACTCCCTCATAATTATAGAACCGTTATAGATTCCTTTAAGGACCCCTTTACAAAAACCTTGTTCTGGGGCTGGAGGTAGCCTTATCACCCATACACGATCGAAGGTGCCTGGGTGGTAGCTCATGGCTGCGCACGCTTTGGCTTCCGCTGCGGTGCCATGGCGTCACCCCGGCAGCATTGAGTGATTTCGGGATATAGGGCTCCTTAAAAGGGCAGGGGTTTAGGGTTTAGGACTCCTTAGGGGGGTAGGGTTTAGGGGTTTAGGGATTTCGGGATTTAGGGCTCCTTAGCGGGTTAGGGGTTTAGGGTTTAGGACTCCTTAAAAAGGGGTTTAGGGTTCAGAGGTTTTGGGCTTTCGGGATGTTCCAGCTCAGGCTCGCAGGGTTCGTAATAAGGTTCCGGTTGGGGTTCCTTTAAGGGGTTCTGCAAGGGTTCCTCAAAGGGTTTCTGTGGGGTTTACGGGCTTTGTGGGCTTTCCGGATCTAGTGTTTAGAGCCAAAAGTCTAGGGCCTCAGGGGTAGGGTAAAAGGATTCCGAAAGGGTTCCGTTTGAATTTCCCTTGAAGCTTCATCAACGAGCTCCTACAACAATTTCGGACAGCGGGGCTTTCGTGTCTTTGGGGCTTCGGAGATTTTGGAGGAGCAGTGAAAGCGAGAATCAACCGCCCTCGCTCGACAGCTGCACCAGCGGCTGCGAAGTCCTTGCGAAGCAGGCTAATATAGGGGCCTCAATAATGGGGGTTCAGTTCCTTGTTATAAGTGGGTGGTTGTCAAAAATCTGGTCCCGTTTTGGATCCCCATTATGATACGGCACCTAATATTTAGGGTACCCAAAAAGGGACCATAATTTTGACAACCACCCAAGTATAGTATATAGTGGGCCCCGAAACATCCCAAAGCCCTATTCTAATGATCACGGCCCCTATATATCAAAGGGGAAAAGGAGGGACCCTTAATGCAAACCCCTACCCTATAATGGGCTATATAATGGGTATATAACAGCTATATCAGGGGTATATACCTAGGGCTCCTTATTAAGGGTCCCTCCTTTTCCCCTATATAAGACCAGCTCTTGGCCAACGAGCTTCCCGGCCGGAAGCATCTCCGGTTGATCCTCGATCCTCGTTCCGTGCTCGCTATCTTGTTTCCGAAAATTAGGGGTGCCCTATTTTGGGATCCTCATAATAAGGATCCTACTATTTAGGGTACTATATAAGGGTCCCCTATTTTCGGAAACTCCCAAATCGCTACGGCTTCTCTGGAAAGGGGATGCTGAGGTTGCGTGCAAGCAGGCGGTGCTTGAATCGACCTCGGACCGTGGAACCCTGTTAGACTTGGCGTACTTCTGGTTGGCTCTTAGGACTTTAAGTTCTTGGGTTTCAAAATAAACAAAAACAAGGAGGCCAAAAGTTTAACTTTTAGCAGGGGTTCAGAAGTCAGCCTTAGACAGAAGGCCACTTGCAGGCCTTGCTTCCTTGTAGGGTTTGGACGGCCTGCTATTGCATTAGACTTTCGTTCGTATTTTGGCTTCGGGTTTGGGTTCAGGGTTTCGATTCCTTGTTGTTCAGGGTAATGTGAACTCCTGGTTGACAAACCTCCGCGTTTTTCAGGCCGTACACGTTGAGATCCCCTAGCTCCATGGCACTGGACATTTGATCGGGGAGAAAATGCCTAAACCCTCCACTCACCCCTAAGCCCAGAACTGCCGAGAGCGCCGCTTTTGCGTGGGCGTTCTCTGCCGTCAGGCAGTAAAAACCTGTCTGGTGCTTAGAAGGGAATGGGGAAATGGATCCCTATAGTACATGGAACATAAAACATACTAATATCCAGAATCTCATGAACATGCTTATGCAAGTGATTTGCATGACATGGAACCGAGGTTTCCCGGTACAGCTCTAAACCGCCCTATAGTATCGCTTAAAGGAACCTTTAAAGGAACCTTTAAAGGAACCCTGAACCCTGGACCCTGATGCACCACAGCCCCGTTCTCGGAATGATTCCCGTCAGAGATGGACAGTAGTGAAAGCAAGCAGCAAAGCAGGGTATGCGTGCCTAAAGCCCGGCACTGCCAACCCAAACTTGCAACATATTTAAATCCCTTTTCGCAATGCCTGTAAACGGGTGAGGGATTGAATATTGCCGGTGCGCAACATGTCGATTCACGTGGAAGTGGGACTGATCAGTGGGCAGGCTGTCGTAGTGCAAGCAGCGTTGGATGAGACGGTGGCAACATTGAAGCGACGGGCACAGATTGCACTCGGGGTCGGGACCGGGCAGCTCGTGGACTCATCCGGATGCGTCGTGGAAGGATGTGTGCAGGTCAAGAAAGCCAGGGTGCAGAATGGTGACTTCCTGACCTTGTTGTGCAAGACGGTTCAAGTTCAAGCCTCTTTCAGTGCTTTTGCGGCCATTCTTGACGATGGATCCGTGGTGGCGTGGGGTGATGCTGACGGTGGCGGCGACAGTAGTGCTGTGCAGGGTCAGCTGAAAAATGTACAGCAGATTCAAGCCTCTGCTTATGCTTTTGCTGCCATTCTTCGCGATGGATCCGTGGTGACCTGGGGAAATGCTGCTTATGGTGGTGACAGCCGCGCTGTGCAGGGTCAGTTGAAGAATGTGCAGCAGATCCAAGCCTCTCAGCATGCTTTTGCTGCCATTCTTGACGATGGATCTGTCTTGACCTGGGGACATCCTGCTGGTGGTGGCAACAGTAGGGCTGCGCAGGGTCAGCTGAACAACGTGCAGCAGATCTGGGCCTCTGCCGGCGCTTTTGCTGCCATTCTTGGTGATGGATCCGTGGTGACTTGGGGTGCACCCGACTACGGTGGCGACAGTCATGTTGTGCAGACTCAGCTGAAAGAGGTGCAGCAGATGCAGGCGTCTTGGCGCGCTTTTGCTGCCATTCTTGGCGATGGATCCGTCGTGACCTGGGGTCATGCTGAGTTTGGTGGTGAGAGCAGCGCTGCGCAGGGCCAGCTGAAGAATGTGCAGCAGCTCCAAGCGTCTCAGGGCGCTTTTGCCGCCATTCTGGGCGATGGAGCCGTCGTGACCTGGGGTCATGCTGAGTTTGGTGGTGAGCAGCGCTGTGCAGGGCCAGCTGAAGAATGTGCAGCAGCTCCAAGCGTCTCGGCGCGCTTTTGCTGCCATTCTTGGCGATGGATCCGTCGTGACCTGGGGTTATGCTCAGCTGAAGAATGTGCAGCAGCTCCAAGCGTCTCAGGGCGCTTTTGCCGCCATTCTGGGCGATGGAGCCGTCGTGACCTGGGGTCATGCTGAGTTTGGTGGTGAGAGCAGCACTGTGCAGGGCCAGCTGAAGAATGTGCACCAGCTCCAAGCGTCTCAGAGCGCTTTTGCCGCCATTCCGGGCGATGGAGCCGTCGTGACCTGGGGTCATGCTGGCTTTGGTGGTGAGAGCAGGGCTGCGCAGGGCCAGCTGAAGAATGTGCAGCAGATCCAAGCCTCTCAGCGCGCTTTTGCCGCCATTCTGGGCGATGGAGCCGTCGTGACCTGGGGTCATGCTGACTTTGGTGGTGAGAGGACGTTGAGGTCTGCAGCAGAGAAGATCCATGTGGACACCGTTTATGACGTCCTGGACAAGGTGTTCCGAGCGCCCAAGCGACCTGTCAACTGGGCAGTTGACAGGTCGCTTGGGCGCCCGGAACACCTTGTCCAGGACGTCAGTTTGAGGATGCCGATCTCCGGCATCTACAACAAGACCAAGATCGGGGCTGTCGACCACGTGCTGGCTGGCCGGGTGGAGCATCGGTGATGACGCGGCCTCGAGCCTTGGGTAACATGCATCAACCTCTAGCAAAGGTAAGCTTCCCAAGATCCCACTGACTGAAAAGACAGGAGCTTCGCCTACGGTGCTCGAGTGCTTGCAGGGCACATCTCGAAGAAAGCTTCCCAATCAGTCTGGACGAAAGAAGCCTCAGTTCGTGACTTCTCGGCATGACGGGCAAGCTTACTCACACACAGCATTCGTCTTGCTGTAAACGTTAATGCCGTACACACATGAACAGATGACAAAGCGAACAAGGACTTTCAAAGCTTAACACCTACCAAGAAGAATGCATACTGCACATCCACCTGACACGGCAAAGCGCTAATTAGAGCCTAAGCCCTCATAGGACATCTCCGAAGGGTTAAGGCTCAGAATCCCATGCCCCGCATGCTTATGGGAGCCCTTAAAAGAGCCCTCATAGGATATCTCTGGGGGTTTAAGGCTCAGAATCCCATGTCCCGAATGCTAGGCACCCCAGCATACACAATTTGACGCTGCGCTGGGGCGAAGACGAGGCGGATTTGTGGGTGCGGACTGTTTGGCATAGGTCTTTGGGAGAGTCTTCCAGAGCTTCCAGGGGGCTTGTTGGGTGTAGGAGGGTTCTGTATAGGTGTTTACATGGGTTTCATGAGTCTTATCGGGCTTGTGCAGGGGCTCCATTAGGATTCATATCAGAGAGAGAGTTTATAGTCTGGGTTGAATGAGTGGCACAGTGTTTGTTGAAATATTAGAGGGTGTCCTCGGGATGTCTATCTGAGGATACAAGTCCAAGCATTTCTTTGAGCCCCAAAGCTGGTAAGGGTTTTGGGTTTAGGGCTTCGCATGTTCATTTTTGTCTCGACCCTTCAAACTCTGTGGCATCTTGTAGGAGGCGCTCTTGTCCGGGATCAACGTCCCCCAGCTGGTGCTGGCAAGCAAGGACCCTGAGTGAGTTCAGGGCCTAAGCCTGAGCTTTGGCTGTGCCGGTCAGGTTTGTGGTCCTTTACGGGCGTTGCCTAAGCCTGAGCTTTGGCTTTGCCCGTCAGGTTTGTGGGGTCCGTTAAGGGGGTTGCAAGCTCAAGGTTGCAAAGGGTTTCGTTCAGCTATCTATGCGGGTTCTGTAAGGATGCTAGTTTAGGGTTTGGGGTGTGCTCCACACACCCCAGTACACAGGACGTTAAAGAAAGAAGCTTCTGAATCATAGTTGAACCCGACTTTACAGGAACCTCTGAACTAGCATAACGCACATAAAGAACCTACAGAGAAACTGCCGTGAGACCATATAGACAGCCGATGGAAACCATAGAACACCCGTTCCTAAGCCCTTACCCCTAAACCCCAGGACCCTTAAATCCCTAACCCCTAAACCCTAAACCCCTAAACCCTAAACCCCTAACCCCTAAGCCCCCCGAAACCCCAACCCCTAAACCCCTAAACCCTAAACACCCAACCCCTAAACCCCTAAACCCCTCGACCCTAAACCCTACAACCCTATACCCCCTAAACCCCCAAACCCCCCAAACCCTAAACCCTAAATACCCTATAAGTGCCCGAAAGGATGAACCGGACACCTGGAAGCCCGGCGGCCGTGCGGAGAGGGTGCTGAAGTCTGAGACTAGCATCTTCAAGGCCCCGGTGTTGGTGGGGGGAAGGGGGGGTTTGGGGGTTTAGGGTTTGGGGTTGAAGGGTTTAGGGGTTTGGGGGGTTTAGGGTTTTGGGGGGCTTTGGGGGTTTAAGGGTTCAGGTTTGGGGTTCAGGGGTTTTGGGGGCTTTGGGGGTTTAGGCCTTGGGTTTAGGTCTAGGGTTGAAGGGTTTTGGGGGTTTTGGGGCTTTAGGGTTTCGGGGTTTAGGGTTTAGGGGTTTGGGGGTTTGGGGTTTAGGGGTTTAGGGGTTCAGGGGTTTGGGTTTTGTTTTTTTGGGTGTAGGGTTTCGATAGAACACCAAAGCAGGATCCTGATGAGATAGGGATAAGAATCCCCACCCAAGGAGGTGCTCCTGGTTCTTGTGGCTGGTGGAAGGGCCTGAAACGTAGGGTTGCAAAGGCTTTACGGTTTACGGCAAGGGTTTAGGGTTTTGGATTTAGGTTCAGAGTTTGTGGCTATATTAGGGGTCTCACGCAGCTTTCGTGTTGGGTTCAACTGTCTTGCCAAGATGTTTCTGGTTTGAAGGAGTCTCATTGAGCTTCGTAAAGGGCGGTGCATACATCCCACGCCACAGCGGGGCCCAACTGGTGGTCATTCAGCAGGAGCCCACCATGAGCCAGTACATTGGACTGGGCACAGCCTTCTTTCTCAGACCCCTTGGCCCACTCCAGCGGCGAGAACCCAGAGCTTGGCACGTGAGAGTGGCAGACACCCCTGAAGCCGCGCAGACAAAGCATATAAAGCAAAACCTCCGAAAGCAATGGAAACGCTATGCAATGGAACCATTAAAAACGCTCCACAAGCCCCGTAGGCCCGCCATAGGCCCAACACGCCACACCCATAAACAGCCCTGCAACCCCAAAAAGTTTTGAAATCTCCTTGGAAGCTGACCATTGGATCTTGAGCCAGTTTGTCACTTCTTCGGACAGTCCCCAAGAGTGTCTAAGAGACTTCAATCCCAAGCAGTCTTTTCCATAAGAAGTTATCCAAGCCTTACTACATCTCTATGTAAAGCAGCCCTCAAGACCTTGTAGACTTATGTTGCATGCCGTGCAAGCAAGTCGAAAGAATATAGTCCTTGAGATCTAGCCCACGAGTGTCTCCACCCATTCTAAAGCTTAGGGTTTAGAGTGTAGGGGCTCAGGGGTGTAGTGTGTAGGGCTGAGGGGTTTAGGGTCTAGGAGCCGTTCTCAACTTGTACACCTCTCAAGACTACCTTACAAGGTCTGGTGGGTTCATGCCACAAATTAAGCCCCAAACCGCTATATTATAGCTCTAACAGTGCATCTTAACCTGGACCATAAAACCCACTGCCACCACAGTTTTAAACCTTGTCTAGCCTTCTACAGTTCTAGAGCGCCCGAAACCGTCTCCTGCTCCTGCTCCCTCCGTCTCCCTCTCTCTCTCTCTCCCTCGCTCTCTCTCTCTCTCTCTCTCTCTCTCTCTCTCTCTCTCGCACTGTCTTGTTTCTTCCTCTGTCAAGAAGCCCTGTTACCCCTAAACCCCAAATTCTAAACCCCTGTAAGCCTTCTTCAGCGAAAGCCCCAAAGACAGGAGTTTCCTTCCATGAGCCACGGCTTCGTCCCGCGTGGGGATCTCAAGGACAGCCAGGTGGCGGCTCCGTCTGACGGCCGATTTTCAGGGTTTGGGGTTTAGAGTTTATAAGGTTTAGGGTTCAGGGTATAGGGTTCAGGGTACAGGATTTAGGATAAAGGGTTTTAGAATATGGGGTTTAGGGTTAAAGGTAAAGAGATTTTTTGGCTGGCGGTTGAGTTTCGGAATTGTTGGGTGTGTGTTCGGGTTTAGGTGCTGTGCTGGTTCACAGCGGTTCTCTTGACATGCTTGACTTTGAGGAAGCTTCTTTGCAGAAGGCTTTCCAGGCTTCAGTTTAGTATTTACTGTTAACCCTAAGCCCGAAACGGCACTCCACACTCAAGAACAATACAACCATGAACCCTATACAGCCCCAGTAGAATAAAGCCCCCAAAGAGCCAACCAACAGCTCTAAGAGACCCTCCAAAAGCCCGGAGGGGTAGTTGTCAAAAATGTGGCCCCTTTTTTGGGGTACCCTAATTATTAGGTGCTTTGTTATAATAAGTACCCCAAAAGGGACCATAATCGTGACAACCACCCAAATGCAGGAGGAAGCTTCAAAAGGTGTGATGCAGTAGGGTGGATTACGGTTTCATGGTACAAGGGCTCTTGTGCAGGATCATCTCACCGTTTGAGGCTTGAGAACCTGAACCCTGATACCCTCAACAAGCCCTAAAGCCCAGACATAAACTCTAAGTAGGCACTCATACAGGGGCCTTAGTAATAACCCTTGTTTTAGGGGGTTTCCTTACTACAAAGATAGTATAGTCTACCCCAAGACCCTATTCCAACTGTCATGGTCCCTATAGTACACCCTTTGAGTTGCGGGCTCTGGGTGTCGTTTTGCGAAGGTGGCCTCCGATGTCGCAAGAGCGATGGAGCAACTTGGAAGTATATAGGCAGTCGGAGGGCTTCTTGGAAGTAAGGCCCCTAATAAAATAAGGGTAGCAGTTACTCTGACAATGATTAAGAACAGCAAAGGCAAAACATAGCAGTACCAACAACAAGAACAATATAGTTATGCCATTGGTAGTCGTCAGAAATATTTTTAAGTTGAAGCTGCAGTACTTCAGGCTGCAATATATATATATATATATATGTATATATATATATAGATATATAGATATAGGTCTCCTGTTATCTTCAGCGGTCTTGGGTTTCACTATAGGTTCTGCACGCCGGGGTTTGGGAGTAGAATTCTGAGGATTGTAGGCCGCAAGGATCAATGTAGTTATTGGGTATGGGGTTTCCTGATTCGTAGTCTTAATCTAAAACCCCTGCTAAAATTATAGTCATCGAGGCAGCGATATTATGTTATGGTGTAATCAGTGATTTGTGCGCGATGTTCGGCTGTCTCGATGTTGAAGGATTGCAGCTACAACAACGTTCTACAAACCCGCAGACCCTAATCGGAAACCGTAGCCTAGGCACGAGCCATCGTTTAAGCCTAAACCCAGAGTCCGGTGTTTGCAGACGTGAGTTCTGAATATGGAAGGTAGGAAGAACAAATTTGTCAGTTGGAGATCGTGGCTTCAGTTGGGGTTTGGGGCGTGGGCTCTGAGCCTAAATCCTAGACCCGAAACCAGGAACACTGAACCTGGGTGCTGAGGTACATCAAAGGCTTCCTGTGCAAGCACCTGCCGCGGGAAGTGTCGCAGACCTGAGTGCTCGGGTTTTCAGAACGGATCTGATAGTCCAGCTAAGACAGGCCCCTCATAATCAGAAGCCTGTTAAGTGTTGATTCAAAGTGTTTGGTAGGGGTCTGTACGGTTTTACAAAGCTTCAACCCAAGAGCGAGCATGCTTCAAACCCGATCGATTTCCACCGACTTCTGTACAGCGGGAAAAAGCGCATTCCGATGCGGAGCACCCATAAAGGCTTATTAGAATACCTCGACCTACGATCCAGTAGAATAGGTGCTTGAACTCACTTGTCGAAACAGTAGAGGTTTCAATGAGGTTAAATTTGGCACACAAAACCCGAGATCCTAATTGACATGAAGCCTTAGAGCGCAAACTCTAAGGTACCGGGTTTGCGACGGCGATGCACCCGTTGCGAACCCTATGCTGACGTCGATTGAACAATGGCGTGTCGACGGTCCGTACTACAGGGTATCCAGGCCATAGTGAATGTTACCTGAACCCATGAGTCCTACACCCTCAACCTAAAACCTAAGCCCCAAACCCTCAGCAAACTCAAGAAAACCAGGAGCGCCTTCAAAATCCGAAAGCCAATCCCATGCAAGTCCTATACCCCGAAGCCACGCAGGGTCCACGTAATTACACTTTTTCCGTCTTTAAAGTCCACATATGGGAGTTTCCGAAAACCTTATTTTCGGGTCCTTGTAATAAGGATCCTACTATTGAGGGTACTATATTAGGGTCCCCTATTTTCGGAAACTCCCGTATAGGAACCCCGGGCTAAGCATGTTTTGGTCTAGTCTCGGTCCATGGACCCCAACCCCCCGCAACTGAAAACTCTATGAAATCTAGAAGCAAACAGCAAGGAAAGCTCCCTGCCCGGTAATCCTTAAACCCTAAACCCCTGACCCCTAAACCCCTAAACCCCTAAGCCCCTAAACCCCTAAACCCCTAAGCCCCTAAACCCGAGACCCCCGTAGACCCTTTCCGTGGAGAGGCCGTGGCTACATCCCTCCTCCAGGCTCCAGCCGTTTTCGGCTTGTCTGCGCTGCTGAGGAACGAGACGTCGGGGGCCCAAAGAGCGGCGGGTCTGTCTATGTTTTTTTTAAACACCTAAAAACATTTTTTTATAACACAACCTAAAAACCTTTCTTTTTGAAACCTAAAAACATTTTTTTAGGAAGCCTAAAAACCTATGTTTTTAAAAAACCTATGCTCAGGGTTTTTGTCTATGATGCTACCTAAACGCCCAAAAGTAGGTAAAATCATGGCCCAATGCCTATAAAAGGCTATTATTCCACATACTCTTGGGGCCCAGGTAAGGGTTTTCGGCGTAGGGCTTTGAGGCTTTAGGTTTTTGGGTTTCGGGGTTTTGGGCTTGGGTGTCGGGGTTTACGGGCTTAGGGTTCTTAGGATGGGGACGGGGCGTTGAGGGGTGCTGAAGGGTTTAGGGTTAGGGTTCAGGGTTTAGGGTTTAGGATTTAGGATTTAGGGTTTAGGGTTAAGAGTCTTCTTATTCAGCCCTAAGCCCTAAACCGACAAGTCCTGGATCCTGCACTCCAAATCCCTAACTCCTAAACCCGTGTAAGCTTCTCGACCCTGGAGTCCATGCAAACCTAAAACTTTCAGGATCTAGCCGAAAATACAGGAGTCGGAATACCTACTTAATGGTATCCCCCGTGTAGTTCCCGTATCAGTTCTTCTGTTGCATCTGTTGCAATGTACCACCCAAACCCTGCTCTGATTATTCAGTCGCCTACAGTCTCCATTATGTCATTTTTGCCCCTGACGACGCTTCTAGGGTTTATGGTTTGGGAGGGTATACCCCCATTTGAGGGCACAGTGAGGGGTCTTGGCAAACTTTCTGCTTCAAAGGGGGGCCCTAAGCGTTAACTCCCAGACTGAAACCTTGAATTTAAGGCCCGAAGTACTTTCAAACCCTCAACAACACTAAACCCAAACAACCAGGACCCCCAATGGTCCTTTAATGGAGCCCTTAATTATGATCATAAGTAGTGATTTCGGGCACAGTAGAGGGTAGTTGGGGGGTCTAGGAAAACCTATTACCTTCAATATTTGGCTTTCAAGCCTTGACCTATTGACCTACTCAACACCAGAGTAAAAGAAAGCGTATCGCCTGAAGCTTGTAGGTTCTACCCTAAGGCTCCAAAGTAGTTCCTTTTTGGGGTTCATATTTAGAACCCTATAAGGTAATCCCAAAGAGGAACTACTATGGAGCCTCTGGGTAGAGGGGATTTACGGCCTCATCTACTGTAAAACAAGTGAGCAAGTTTGGATGTAGGGCTGAGGATTTCGGGGGGGGTTTAGGGTTTAGGGTAAGCTAAGAAAGTAAAGCCTCCCGAAAGCCCTGAACCTCGGGGCTACCTTGATTCAACAAGCTCCGAACCACTTTCACAACAGCGGGTCTTTGCTACAAAAGCCCCCGACCCCTTCAACCTAGGCATAAACACCAGCAGCTCTCCAAAAGGCATGACCCTGTCCCATGCATCCCCTCTGTCCCGTCGGAGCCCACCGGAAAGTTTGCAGCCAATGTGGCTCACAGCCACACCTCCAACGAAGCGGCAGCCATGTCCGAACCTGCCAAGGCCCCACTTTTCTGGGGTTCTTCTTCATCAGTGTGTCTTTATGGCAGGGATAAATGGTTTAGCGCCTGAGGATTTGCGATTTTGTCGGGGGGGGGGGGGGGTTTTGGTGGTTGGGGGTGTGCGGGTTTCGGGGTATGGGGTTTATGAACGCGTGCTCGGCCTGATTTACGGGCCTTGGGGTTTAACTTAGGGGTTCGGAGCTCAGAAAGTTTAAGTAAGACTAGGTTGACAAATATCACGAAGCCCGAGCCCGCCAACTGCTGCAGCCTGAAGTACCTCTTCATTTGGAAGATGAGACCCCGATTCAAAGGGTACCTGGCCCACCCAAAGTCCCGGCGGCCTAAACCCTAAACCCTAACCCCTAAGATCGGAGCCTTGATAATTAGAATAGGGTCTTGGCGCGAATTATGCTATACTTGTAATAAGGAACCCCAAGGCTGTTCAACTGTTAAGGGGCATGCGAGTCTGCTAGTGTGAAGACAGTTGAAAGGCCCATGTCCCACTCCTAAACCCTGAACCCTACGACTAGACCCTGAACCCTGCATCCAGATCGACCCAAGCCCTGAATCCTAAACCTGGACCCTAGACCCGGGAAACTCTAAACCCTAAGCATCAATACGGTTGATGATATAAACCCTGCACTACCCCACGAACCCTAAACTATGGGAATTATGGTAGATTGCTGATTATGGGTAATGCAGGATTTATATCATCAACAGTACCACAAAGCCTTAAGCTTAGTAAGTATGGTTATAAGTACCTTAATTGGGGTTATAAGTAGTTATAAATATTGTTACCCTAAATATAACCCTGGTTACTAAGCCCCATGACCCTTTAAGTAAGCCCCCTAAACCCTGAACCCTGAGCCCTAAACCCTAAACCACGAAACCCCTATCCCTAAACCCTAAACCCTAAACCCTGAACCCTGAACCCTGAACCCTGAACCCCAAACCCTAAACCCTAAACCACTAAACCCTAAACCCTAAACCCTCAACCACTAACCCCTAAACCCTAAACCCTAAACCCCAGGGCCAAAGCCCGTGATCCTTCGAAGCCCTTCCTCAGGCAAGCGGGCTTAAACCGCTCACCCAGCCTCTCGGTCGGCATGGGTTGGTTATAGGGTTTAGGGCTTTGGGTTTAGGGTTTAAGGTTAGGGTTTAGGGTTTAGGGTTGTGGTGACGGGGCATGGGTTGTAGAGTCTTCCTGGGGATCCGAAACCCTACCATTTTGAGGGTTCTACCCTCTAATTAAGGGGTCATAACCTACTATTTTGTAGGGTTTGGGGTCGGCATGTAATGGTTGTGTAGATCAGGAGCCGAAGAAGCACCCAAACATAAACTTTCGGGTGGGATATTCCTAGCTTATTGGCTTTTGTTTAGGTCCTGTTCTGGGTCCCTAGTAGAGTCTTGGATCTTAACATATGGGCCGAAAAAAACTACCAAGACCATTTTGGGGGTTCCTTATTATGAATATTGTAAACTGGGCCCCAAGACCCTGTGCTAATTATTATAAGGCTCCTATAGTAAGTTCGGGCTTCGGGGGTTGAGTGCGTTGTGGAAAACGCTTGTAAGTTACACACCGTCCTGCTGGCTGAGTATGGTGACTTGGCATGCTTGCTGTTCTTTGCGTGTCGTTTGTCGCTGCGAACTCACCATTCAAGGATGAGTCTTCAAGTTTCCATTCGGCAGACCCCAGTGCTCCAGTTGGAGTGCGTTGTGGAAAACGCTTGTGAGTTACACACCGTCCTGCTGGCTGAGTATGGTGGCTTGGCATGCTTTCTGTTGTTGGCGTGTCGTCTGTGTCGCTGCGAAGGCACCATTCCAGGATGAGTCTTCAAGTTTCCATTCGGCAGACTCTAGTGCTCCAGTTGGGGTGCGTTGTGGAAAACGCTTGTGAGTTACACACCGTCCTGCTGGCTGAGTATGTTGCTGTTCTTTGCGTGTCGTTTGTCGCTGCGAAATCACCATTCAAGGATGAGTCTTCAAGTTTCCATTCGGCAGACCCCAGTGCTCCAGTTGGAGTGCGTTGTGGAAAACGCTTGTGAGTTACACACCGTCCTGCTGGCTGAGTATGGTGGCTTGGCATGTTTTGTTCTTTGCGTGTCGCTTGTCGATGCGAAGGCACCATTCCAGGATGAGTCTTCAAGTTTCCATTCGGCAGACCCCAGTGCTCGAGTTGGAGTGCGTTGTGGAAAACGCTTGTGAGATACACACCGTCCTGCTGGCTGAGTATGGTGGCTTGGCATGTTTTGTGTTCTTTGCGTGTCGTTTGTCGCTGCGAAGGCACCATTCCAGGATGAGTCTTCAAGTTTCCATTCGGCAGACCCTAGTGCTCCAGTTGGAGTGCGTTGTGGGAAACGCTTGTGAGTTACACACCGTCCTGCTGGCTGAGTATGGTGGCTTGGCATGCTTTCTGTTG